ACTGGACACTCCTACATGGCTGACCACAGTTTGAGTCCCGGACCTGGTGGCTTGCTTTCTCATTTTCCCTCTCTCTCACACACACACACTCTCTCTGTGTCCCTCTAGTCAATTTAAAAAATGAATGAATGAATAAAATAAATAAATACAATTGAGTAAATAATTAATAAATAAATAAATAAATTGTCCTCGAGAAACGCCAAAAGTATCCTTGGTAAGTTCACATATGGGAAAGTTTCATAACGTAAAAAGCACCCAACCCCTGCCTTCTCTACTGTTTGTCCAACCAGCTTCTGGAAACCTGTTTGTTCAGTCATAGGAGTATGAGAAAATGGTCCCAGACTTTAAGTAATGTAGTAATACTGCACTCATAATTGGGAATTTATCTACCACAGGAATACAAACACCTAAGCACGTTGTAAAACAAAAGAATTATATGTATTCAGGGGAGAGGGGCCCTAGTTATTCTCTGGGAAAAAGGAAAAATAAATCCATCAAACCTTCAGAGCTCAGTGGCAATCTACCATGTCCTCCTACATTAACATTCTGTTCTGTAATACTGTCTCTAAGGCAGCCCTTTTTTCGTTAAGTTTTGGCTCCTATTATGAATAAATTCTTATCTGGCTCATGAACCATTCTCTTCTTGGCTCTATTTGTCTGCCTGATCAGTTCTAGGTGAAAAAATAAGATCTATTTAACCTTATAAAGCAAAAGGTCAGACCATAAGATTTCTATAGGGCAACATGGCCTCTTCCTAGCATAGGCAACCTGTCATCTTTTTTGCTCAAAAATACAAAAGCATCTGGGAACCAGCAGTTAGCGTAATGGCTGTGTCGCTGGATTCCCATGTAGTCGACCGTGGTTCGCATCCCGGACCCAGTGGCTTAAAACTCACGCTGGCGGGAACCAGCAGTTAGCGTAATGGTTATGTCGCTGGTCTCCCATGTAGTAGACCGCGGTTCATGTCCCGGACCCGGTGGCTTAAAAACTCACACCAGGCGTGTGTGTGTGAGTGCCCAAGATCCCGAGAGGAGAATGGAGGAGAAGGGATTGCGGCGTGACCATTCCCCCTAGGGGGTGATTTCTCGCTTTCTGTCTCTATGTCTCTCTCTGTCTGTCTGGCGAGCGCATGCGCCCTACAGTGAAAATCTCTCAAAAACAAAAAAAAAACAAAAAAAAACCTCACGCCGGGCGCACGCGTGCGTGTGTGTGTGTGTGTGTGTGTGTGTTCCCAAGATCCCGAGAGGAGAATGGAGGAGAAAGGATTGCGACGTGACCATCCCTGGGGGGGGGGGCG